CTCGTACTTTTAGTAATGAAAATCATCTTCCCAACTCATTTTTCGTCCTTTAATGTTGAGGCGCTCCTACCCCCCTCTCACCTTGTCTTGTCTTGTCGCCTTGTCTCGTCTCTTGTCTTCGCTTCTCTTCTCTTTTCGTTCTCGTTCTCCTTCTCTTCTCTTCCCCCTCTTCGTCTTTTTCAAGCAGGCCATGCATTGGCGCACAGTCGCGCGTGTAGAAAAACGTATAAAAACCTTGGTTTTTCCACGCGTTTTGCGGGAACTCGCTGCCAATTCTATATCGCTTACACTGTCACGGCGTTATTCTAGGCAATGGCTCTTACACGACTTCGTTCTGACACCGCAACCTGTGCACCTTCCAAGTCATGTCGCGCACAAGCCCCTTGCAACCATTTCCTCGCTACTTTTTTTCGCTTACATGTCGCTTTTGCAGAAGCTCTGTGTTACACACGCGCTCTCTGCAAGTACTGTTTGCTGCCCACTCGCTTTTACACCAGCGCAGCTTTTGTTTCTGGCCAGTTGCTCTCCACTTACATGGCTCTTACACTACTTCGTTTTGACGCCGCACCTCATTGACACAAACATCTCCAGCAAGCGTGCATGTTCCAAGTCATGTCGCGCACAAACCCCTTGTTTTCACGCACTTTGATATCGTAAACTCTGTTAGCTAACCTTTGCATAACCTGCACACAAAAAGACACAATAGCTACACACAGCTACACACGCCCGGGCCATGGCGACCAGCCGTGCGGGCTCGAGCTGATGGCCGGCGGCATGCCGAAGGCTGTAAATAAATACAACACAAAAACCAAAAAAACACGATAAAGAACGAATTTGTAACATATTCAGATACATATTAACACATAATTAAGATATATATATATATAAATAGCAACATCATATGTTTATATATGTCATCAAATCAGATCTCTCACCTGGAGCAGGCCGCATAGGAGGGCCGCTCCCCTCGATCGAAGATCAGGCTGGGCCCGATGGATCGACGGAGGCAGTGAACGCGGGCGCCCAAAAGAAAATCACCCAGGTCGATGCCTTAGAGGCTTTCGGAGAAAAAGACAAACAAAGATTCAGGCGACTCGAATCAAGGAAACAATGGAAAACATTTATATAATGTATCTAGTATAGAAATGGTCTATATATTTATAGTTCATTCTAGTTCTATCTCTTTCACGTTGCCACCCCTTACCAGTCACAAAAGCACGCTTTTGACATGCTTAACCCCCGTTGCCGGTGGCAAGAACGCTTTAAGCATCAGCGTCCACCATGTCAGGCCCAACAACAGCTCGCGTCTCGCAAACGAGACGAAAGAGGAAAATGATGAGATCATCTGTCAACATTGACGTGACGGGACGTGCAGATCGTGGTGCCCTTAGACAATCGAAGTAATGAGGTGATAGCCGTTGACTCCTCTTCTTCAGTGATATGGCTATCTCGAGCAATGTGGAGATGCCCGCCCAAGAGCTTGTCGGGCGACGCCGCTCGGCGTGGCATGGCATCATCCGTGGGTCTAAGCTGAACCCGTGGCCTGAAGGCCCGAAGGATCCCGAAGGTGTGTCCAGTTCTTGGCCAAGTCCTAGTCTGGTCCAGCTAATGGTGAGGCTGAATGGCACTGAATGGTGTCTGCCTGAAGAACTATGCCAAAAATGCATCTCTGACAGCCAAAGATCTGATTGAGGTAGAAAACAATCAAACCTTGTCTTTTGACCGTTTCGGTCTTCCTACTCCATTCTTCCCAGCAACTCCAATAAGCACTCTTGGCTACGTGAATAGCCCAATTGCATGACGCTCAGCAAAAAAATGATCTTGTGCCATTCATGTCTGCCACTAGCGCATGTCACTGCAATTCAATGGACGGAGTGAAGGGCTGGCATAGGCTGGCTGCCTTTGACTACCCTATTTCTCAATCTATGCCCGCCTTGCGTTCTCCAACAGTTACCTCGGCTAGTCTCATTGTCCCAACCCCGCCACAGGCTTTACCAGTCTCATTGTCATAGATAGATGGCCCATAGATACCCCATAGTCATAGTCTTTACAGGATCTTGAATAGTTCTTTAATGTCGACGTCGTATTAATCAACGGGCCCCCCTCCCCCGCCCCCCCTAGAAGGTCAACAAGGTCAACAAGGTCAGAGATTGGAGGTTTTGGAGATCACATCCCCCTAATAGTGGGGATGACCTGATGATGAAAGGGAATTTGATTTGGAAGAATTTGATATTTAAATAACTATATTTTTCCTGGTGGGACAGGGGGTAGACTAATAGGGGGGGTTTCAGCCAAGCAAAAAAACATTTAGAGGGTGGTGACTGTGGAGTTTATTATTGGGGCCTGAACGCTGGGTAGACTAATAGGGGGGGGGTTGGTTAATCCTATGTTGACATTACTCACAAAGGTGAAACCGCCAAGGCACCCAGTCACTGCCATCAAACCGCTCGACTGCCAGATGCCTTAACGTCATCAAGCTGTTCGTTCGATGCGGCACGCGAAAGCAGGAGAAAACTCAGCAATCACGGAACCTGTACCCTCCATTGTGCCCTCCCTCCTCTGCAACTGGTTCCTTCCATATGTCTTGGTTTTGTTTGCTGCCCGCACTCGGAAAAAAAGGGCTGAGCGGGTTGCGATGATCCTGATGCCAAACGCGTAGTCTGGTAAATGCGGACCTCATCATCACAGGAATCCACCCACCACAACTCACCTTTTCGGATCATTCTTCCTCAGCCGCTGAAGCTCATTTCTTCAAGCAAAAAAAGAGTTGCGACCAATTTGGGTTGCCTTTCTCCAACCTCTCTGCTAGTCACCAGTCTACAACTCGAAACAAGCAGGACGTCTGCTGTGGATGTTTCTGTGCCCCTGAGTGCTACTTATATAGATACTTGAAGTACTTGGTTGACATTTCGGCAACTTCTCACTGCAATCCTGGGACGTCCAACGCAGCGTGGCCAGCTTGGTACGTAGGCAGAGAAGGCGAGCCAAGGCTGGGCGGCTGGGAGGCTCAAAAATTATTAGCAACAACCTCCAACCCAATGGATGTCTGCTGATGAAACATCAATGAACGCACTGAACCTGTCCGCTTCCTTGACCACATTTAAGGTCAGTTGGCACTGAAACTCAAATCGGCAAAGTGAGAAACATGGCACGGGAGAAAAGCTCTTTTGGTAACCAAGCTTGCTGACATTCACAGAAGCAAGTGAGATCAACATTTTCCTTTGTGTCACAACGTCCCCTGACCAACTATATATGTTTTGTTGTCTTTGGTGGCTGATGAAATGTCAGTCAATTGGTTGAATGCTCTTGCTCAGGGTATCACAGCTATTGTATTTGGTGGATAGGCTCAGTTGGGGTAAGCAAATGTGCCCCTCGGTGTCTATTCATGAAGTAGCAATCACAAGCACGCAAGAAACAACTCCAAATTGAAGGCGCAAACAATTCATACTACAGTAAAATAAGCCTCATCCAAACACCATCAGTTTCTAATGCCCTTGATGTGTTGTCCCCTTGAGGAATATCAAACAGTTTTTTCTGGAGCGTCTGTGTCAGCATTGCCTCTCGTGCCCCACAGCCATCACAGGATGAGGCCTCAATGTGACAGGTCTGCCTTGAGGCATCAAACTGGGGCGACCATCTCCAAACGAAGAACTACAACCTTCAGCTGAAGGTCGAGGGAAGGATAGGGAAGGTGATTTGTGGAACTTGCATGGATCATACTTGTGTGATGTTCCAGGCCACTACCTTGGAACGCTTTCCAAGCTCATTTGTTTTTCCTGGGTAGGCAACATCACAACAGCGAGATCCAGCTCAAAGAGAAAGGATGAAAAGCGATTCTCGTCTGCAACGGACCCGATACTAATTGGGTTGGAGGCCATCGCTGAGGTTGGAGGCCAGTGCACGAGCTGCTTCACCTAAAGCATTAGGTAGCCGAGCCCATTCTGCTTGTAGGCTGCCGTTTTGAATGAAGGCGTTCTCCACCTGCACTTGGTGCCGACACCACCATGAAATCTGGAGACTTGGCACACAGAAAAAATGTGACATACCGGAAGTATTAATGCACTTTGGACGGGATCCTGGTCCAGTAGAAAAGGAACATGAAACACAAATTCTGCTCGGCAAATGACAGAATGGTGACGACCCCCCTTCACCATGTTTGCCATCTTTCCATTGAGCTGGTCTTGTGAATGGCATGCCTGAAACGTTGTTCATTCATGTAAGCCGGCTGTCGATCACGGCCACAGAAACTCTGGACTGCATGGTTAGTGCCAATATTCATCTACAACCATTTTGTCTGGGTTTATCAGCATTCAAGTGGCACATCGCTACTAGGAGCAAGGGCATCGCTACTAGTAGCAAGAAGCTACTATATAGTTACTAGTAACTACCAGTTGATCCCAGTTCCATTCGTCTCGATGTATGGCTCCATTACACCGTGACGCATGTACTTTCCTTGCCTCAAAGCCCAAGGCCCAGCCAGTCGCCTGCAGATTGACACGAAGTCCCCTCCCCTTCAGGGTCTCCGGTAGCAGTATAGGAGATGGGTTTGGTACGGATGTTGCCGCCAGATTGTCTCAAAATTGCTTCCCACGCTGACTTCTTGTGCTTCCCATCCCGAATCCGACAATGTAAAAGGGGAGGCGTAAAAGGTTCCAGGGACTTTGTTCTGATTTGTTCTGTTCAATGCTGCCCACTAGCTTTGAGGGAAAAGAAGCTACTAGTAACAAGGGCATCGCTACTAGTAACAAGGGCATTAATACTAGTAGCTAGAACCTACTAGTAACAAGGGGGGCATGGTTCAATGCTTGTTGTTCAATGCTTTGAGGGAAAATTGAAAGCTCTCCTGGAGCGAAGCCACCAAACTTAAAGGAAAAACATCTGACAGTCGATAAATATAGCAAAAAAAAGGTAGAGCAATAGCCAAAACCACCCAGTATAAACTATTATAAACCGTTACAAATTACAAGTCTGCCCACAATGGTTGCTACCTTCGTTCCCAACAAATGCTTTAGCATCTGGCTTGGCTGGGGCTCTATCCGCTGGAGCTGTGGCTACTGGAGCTGTAGGTCACAGACCAGCCAAAAAAAAATAATCATGGAGTGGCAAACCCAGACTGCTGCCGTGGTTGTTCTTGAATTCGAGGTTTGGCTAAGTTTAGCTCTTGGATTCGAGGTTCATCTCGAAGCTAGTCCTGAAAATGACACCAGGCAAATGGACATTCAGCAAAGTGGCTGCTCGGGTTGGGGGTGTAACACTGGGTGCAACACCTTAACTCACGTCTGGCGTTTTGGTTGCTCATTCTCCTTTCCAAGAGCAACACTGGCGTCGCAACTGAGGAACAGGCCAGAACGTTGCCGTCGACCATGCGAGAAGTGCCTTTGGGGAGTGCAAGTCTTGGACAGGTCTTTGAACCCTCCTACTCGAGACAAACTTGAGACTCGAGACTACTTCATTCATTAAGGGACAGACTTGTTCGCTCCGAGCTACTTGGAAGCTACTTGGTAACTCAAGCTTTGGCCCAAACCCGGACAAATTGACACAGTGTAACACCCTAACACCCTCTTGCCGAGGCCTCCTTTAAACTGGAGAACCAACGGGTCATGGATGGAATCTAAGCAGCCAAGATCAGTGGGGCATCAGCTAACCAACAAGCATAGTCACAGTACAGTGCCCAATCTATCTGGCCTACGACGACGAAGAAAGACAAATGAGTCATATGAGAATCTATTGGCAAAACACGAGGATCCGACTCAAAAGGCAAATGTAATGTGTTAAAGGTATTTAAAGGTTGCCTTTACCAACCTCACCCCTGACCTCACCACCAGCTGAGTTTCCCTGCAGGCCAAGTCCCAGTAGAAGTTCACACCTGTCAAAATCAAAGGCCCCACGCTTTAAATGGGTTAATCCCATCCCATGTCTCATCAACGGCGGACTCGTAGTGATCGCTCACTCACCGGAATGCTCGCACACTCGGCAGCCCCACTCGCAACTGTCCATCTTCTGGGCCTCTCGGTTTGATGATGCAAGATGCTCCTAGTAGCAATGCCAGGAGCCCCTAGTAGCTTCTTGCTCCTAGTAGTAAGGCCAGGAGCCCCTGGTAGCGTCCTTGCAAGATCGTCGAATGATTCACGGGGGCAATGTTGATCGGCGTCGTTACGTGGTAACATGGCATGACCCAGTGATGTAACGGTGCATTGGACACGGTGAGCGTGCGGCGCACGGAACGGTAACCATTGCCATGGTCTTTACAAGAAAGCTTGCGCAAGTGTCATAAGTGATCTGATATCGGAAGACGAGAAAACTTGCTACAAAAGCAAATGCTGCTGGGGAGCACATCCAGCAGGCTGCTGATGCACCAAAGCCTGACGGCATGGATTATGAATCTAGATCAATAGAAGAAAATGGTCGACGTCACATGCTGCAGAACAGCCGAACACTGGGGCTGGAACATTGTAGTCTTCAGCCTCCTACCCAGTACTTGCTCTAACTGCTGGGCGCTCGCTGCATCCGCCTATTTTCCGAGTGCTTCGCCTACGGTGAAGACTCTTTAGCACGACAGAGCTGTTCTGAGATTGTCTTGGAAGTAGCTAAGTAGATCTTGCGATGGCCAAGCTAAGTGGCTTGCGCCACTTCCAAAACGCCCGCCAAAAAAGGGTCGGCCAAGAA